ATTTCATCAAAATCGGATCATTTTTGCTCGAGTTATCGCGCTAACGGACACATATATATGTATATGAAATTGAACGGATGGTGTTTTTGGCCTCTAGGGACCTCAAAACGAAAAAAAAATCGGTCCCGCGTCCAGGTCTTACCATGAGTACTACGGTAATAGCTTATCCCCTATATGGGAAATTCGCTAAAAATTTGAACGAATGGTGTTTTTGGCCTCTGGGGACATCAAAATGAAAAAGTAAATCGGGCCCGGGCCTAGGTCTTACCATGAGACCTACGGTAATAGCTACTTCCCTGTAGGGAAATTCACTAAAATGCAGCAATAAACTAGCACCAGTGTTGGGGAAGCTACTTTTAAAATGTAGCTAGCTACAACTACTGCTACATTTCCAAAAAAGTAGCTTAGCTACAGCTATAGCTACTGTTCCAAAAAAGTAGCTAGCTACAACTACAGCTACAATGAAATGTAGCTATAGCTACAATTTTAGCTACTTTCCCAAGACGTTACTTTTATTCCACGCACATTAGGTAAATGAAAAAATAATTTCAACTACATTTTTATGGAACAAACACTACAACAACAAAATGTCGGTATTGTATCTAACATTACCGAGAAAACAACTTATTCCTAGATTGTATTTAATTAGATGGCATCATAAACCTGACTACAATACATACAACCTTACGACAATACAACCAAAATAGTTGGGTGTTCCATCATATTAGTATTTATTTTTAAATATTGCATTATTTTTAAGCATCTTATGTTAATTTCATTAAAGGGCATACAACCAAACTATATTTTAAAAGCTCATTTCATTTTATTTCTTTAATGTACATTCATTTATAAATGCCTTATATGAACTATTAAAAACAATAAAACTGTAAACGATTATTTAAAAATACTTTTTAGCCTACTGAAATTGGAGTTTATTTTACATAAACCTTTCTTAATTTTTAGTGTTAAAAAAAATTGCTATAACTTTTAACCATAGTGATAAGATACTTGTTCTATGAATAACACTTTTCAATGTCAAGAAACCGTATTTTGTCATTATGCATAGGGCAAATTGTGCTTCAACAAACGTTGGTGCAGAAAACAGTATTCAACAACTTATACGGTACTGAAATCGGCATTTTAATTTAACATGTTGAAAATTGTAAAGTAAAAATAACATGTAGACCTAGGCCTACTTGGCTAAGTAACAAATTGGCTATAGTAGGTGTGTTCTTACAAGGACTAAACAGATATATTCCTATTAATTGAACTTGGTATTCATTAATCCAATAGCATAGCCTAGGAATAGTCCTTGACAAACTATGCTATTTTTTCAATGTAAGTTTCATGTTACAGCACATGGAGACTTTGTCGTTACAATAATTATGTAATCTAGGCATATCTTAAATCTCATCAGGTAAATTTCCTCTTCGTTAATTTAGTAGACCTTTGAAAAACCTTCGTAATCCAACCAAGGAAGAGCTTGTGATGATGAACCACAATCAACAGCTGAAGCAAAAATTGATAGACCAGCTTTCTCATTATTTTAAGGTTTAGTGTTGGTTTCCATTAAAACCCAAGTAGAAACTATCGAAACTAAATTGACTAGTAATTTCCCTGTCAATCACTTGCAAGCATTCAATAGCTCCTCTTGTCACCGGTAACGTCACAGAAAACATACTACTATAACCCAGAATGCCAACCGCATGGTAAAAAGCATTAAGTGTTTTGAGAGACCTTTGCCTGTCAATCGCAGGCAGCGCCACCAGCGTTGCCATGCACTCAGCATAGCATGGTCCGTAATATAGGCCACTGTAAATACGTTTGTCAAGATAGGTACCATTTTAGGCAAGGTTTCTGTGCTTGGATGTTATTAGACACAATGTTATAAGAGCACAATAAAATTATTCTGCAGGATGAATTTTCCGTTAGAGAAATATAAGCCGAATTATAAATGACACAATGCGAGTTTGAGCATTTTGTAACTATATTATATGGGTAAGTTACATAGATTTTTTAGGCTGCTGCTCAGTGTACTTTAAGAATAGCCTATGTATTTTAGAGATCAATTAAATGGTTTTTGTTGCAGAGGAGCGCTAGTAAACATGCACAACCCTTTTCGTTAGTCTAATAACATTCAAAGGCTCTCTAAGAGTTCAAGTTCTAATTTGTATACATATATATATATTATTTTTCACTAAGCTGAATAAATACATCGAAGTAACCTATCTGAAAAGTCTGCAGTATATTGCAGTTTTTCAGCTTAATGACTTTCTAAATCATGCACATATTTCTACATAAAATATTGTAAAATGTTTTATCCAGTTGCTTTAAACCACTATTAAATTAACAAAATATGGACACGGCTCAAATGGGCACCGTTCCCTTCTGCACTTGTATTATTTTGTATTGTATTACACAATCAAAGATTTTTCCAATGATTGAAAGCATGTATGACGAACCTATGATGATCTGTCTAGAATAATATGATAAAATATAGGGAAAATAAGGTGTTAAAAAGGCAGACACCAACTCGTAAAATAGATGTAAGATGATCAATAAGAAATAATTGTAAGAGTTATTGTGATAAAAGGATTTTCCACTGATTTCGTTAAAGAACTTTATATTGCAAAAACCTGACATGATACAGGAAGAAAATCAATTTTAAAATAAGAAAATAACATTGCAAATACTTCTTTTGGACAATTCAGTAACTCCCAATAAACGCGTGTTGTTTAAAATACAATTTTAAAATTAACAACTGTTTTATTAAAAAGTATTATCCACCTGACCAAAATGTAAACAAATCTGTGGAGGGATCTTTAAAGGCTTCTGGGGCAGAGCCCTAAGAGAATTTACTTTGTTTTTCTTTTGATAACTCATCTACAGACCAAGACCTTTCTTTGGACACTTCAACCAAGTTTCTACGTCCAGCCGTTCTCTCAAATTAGAGGAGACAAAGTTTCCAATTAAATATTTAGATTCCCTCATGTTAATCTTATGGGAGGAAACACAACTTTGATGGAAGATCCTGCCCAAACTAATAAAAATATCAAAAAACAAAAAACACTTTGCAAAACTACAGACCAGGGCAATTTTTTTGACACTTTAATCATCAAAATCGGTCCAAAAATGAGGGAGGAGTTCTGTTAACAAAAATCGGCTTAGCGTATTATATAAATTTGTGCTTTTAATCTAACTTCCTTGTTTTAAAAAAATGTGTGTGAATTGGGAAGCTCATTTGCTCAAATTAAACATGTTTTTGTTTGCAGATCATTTCTTTGTTTGCAATATATATATCAAGATAATTTTTGCAGTAGTGTGCCACGCAGTATACAGGCATGGTAATCGTATTAAAGAGTTTTCAATTGTGATTAATTGAATGAAACACGGGCTAGAAGCATGTGCCACATAGTACTCTCTGCACCGCAACACTGAATTGTGGTGGGGGAGCTGAGTAGGGCCGGCTCTTTTTCAAGCACCTAGCGCAGCTTGAGTCAGCATTCCACTTGTTGTAGTTCTGTGGCTGTGACTCCCCCTCATGTTTGTCGTCGCGTTGTCCAATTGACCCGACCGCAATCAATTTTTTCCCCCTAGGATGCTAGGCACGAGCCCGGGATTGTTTTCACATTACTTCAGGCTAGACCTAGGGGTTGCAGCATTATCAATTGGATAAAATCCATTGGTGATTTGGCGGGATTTGAACCCGGGACCTCAGGAACCGAAGTCCTGTGCTCTAACTACTACACCAGCTCGCTCCCCCTGACCGCGATAATAGCGACCGCCCATATGTAAATCTTTTTGTATATACATTATTGACTATAGTGTTAATGATAAAAAGATAACTTAATACATTGACTGGTGAAAATGCTGGTTATAATTTCGTTCCAAATATACCAAATACACACAATGAAACAATCACAAATTCTAAAATAGTCAACGGATCGGAATACTTTCCACGCAATGAAATGGCGGGAACGACTCTAAGTGCACAAGTTATAAGAACCTCACCAGTGAATGTTAAGCTCACACTGAAGCAATGAAATAGGAGTCGAAAGTAGAGGGGAAGATCCGCGAGTTGCGCGTCCGGCGCTAGTTTTGCGGGGTGTGAATCCGTGATATATGTAGCCAATGTGTTGAGAACCCCTTAAGATGCCACATATGCTGATGAAATGCATAGGGTGACACAAACATCCTACCTACCCATGTACTAAAGCTATAACAAAAAGGTAATCTAATATAATCTATATATATAAAAGGCAAAGCCCTCACTGACTGACTGACTGACTGACTGACTGACTGACTCACTCACTCACTCATCACTAATTCTCCCACTTCCCACTTACCTAGGAGGCTGAAATTTGGTACACTGATTCTTTAGGCATTAAATAGGAAAACTAAGTGGTTTTTATTCTGATCGGACTCTCGGGCTCCGCCCCAGTGGCTCTGGAGTTTCCCATGTTAACCTAAAGAGTACTCATATTTAAATGGAATTAATGAATCATAACAGCTGTTTCAATTAAACAAGTTGGTTCTGTTCTGTGATGTTCAATAGCATTAAAGTTACAAGGATTACCAACAGAGTGCAGCACTATTATTTTTTAATTTATGACAACAGCTAATTTGCAACCAAAAGGTGAGTGAGCGTAGCGAACGAACTTCAACCCGGAGGCGAGTTAGCGTAGCGAACGAGCTAACCTGAAGGCAAGTGAGCGCAGCGAACGAGCTCCAACCGTAAAGGTGAGTGAGCGTAGCGAACGAACTTCAACCAGGACGTGTGAGCGCAGCGAACGAGCTCCAACCTAAAGGTGAGTGAGCGTAGCGAACGAACTTCAACCAGGACGTGATTAAGCCATGCGAACGAGCTCACATATGAAGCTAAACGGGGCAAAGCCCGCGGGTACAGCTAGTATGATTGATATAATAGTAGGCCTATATTTTGTAAACAAGAAATTGCTCAATAGCCTGACTAAGCAATATGGTAAATTATTTTTTCTAACCTGCAGATGGGTGTCTAGTAGTTCTTCATATTTTCTTAGCTTTGCTAGTTCTTTTTTTATTTCTGAAATGGAACACAGCGGTCCCTGAAGTGGGAATTCCGAACCCCTAAAATAACATAATAAAAAGCTTAAAATTCAAAAAACAGAGTAAACTACATCTAAAAATGTAATCCATATTATTAATATGCTACATGAAACTTTGAAAACAATAAGGATTTTTTGTTTTAAGATTTAACCCCACAATTATAAACCATAATGTTCGTCTAGATGTGTAGATTTGCAAACTAGCCTTACAATTTAGAAAAAGTCCCTTGGGCTCAGCCTCAGTGGCTTTTAAAGTTCTCATGTTATCCTTAAGAGGACCATATTTGTTTACATTATGATCCGCTGGATAATTTAAATGCTGCTAATATTTTAGTTGCAATCTAAGGAAATGTGTGCTACAAAAATTTACTGACTTGGTTGAAATGAAATATTTACTACAGTATTTGAATTTGGGTTCGCGTAAATATTACAATGGAAGAAAGGGAGAAAGCCTGCCTCCGTCTTGCAGAAAAAGTACTTGTTAAACTAATTCTATATTTAAATAGGGAATAAATATGATATTTTTAAGGATACATTTAAGTGTAAATCCAATCCAAGTCTGCAAGGTTTGCTGTGGCGGGGGTATTTTATTTATTTATTTATAATCTATCTATATATAAATAGGCAAGTACGTTTCTTTAAAACCTTTTTTCTCAGCTCGTGTGCATCGTAGGGAAAATCTACGCATACCGTTAAAAAGATATTTTCCTGTAGAAGTGCAGAATCCCTTTAAAAATTAAAATCTATCTATCTATATATTAATAGGCAAGCATGTTTCTTTAAAACCTTTTTTCCCAGCTAGTGTGCATCGCAGGAAAAATGTACGCATACCGTTAGAAAGATAGTTTCCTGTAGAAGTGCAGAATCCCTTTAAAAATTAAAATAGGCTCAAATAATAGCACAAAAAATGGATTTGAAATTAAAAAAAAAAAATTAACATGGGCTTTATGGGTTGCCATGTTGGCAACAAAATTACAACAAAATATAAACAGGAAATCAAAACAAATGGAAAAAATTACAATCACATGTTTTATTTACAGCGTGGGGTGAAAATAGATAAGCCTGTACCTTTACATTCCATCCCCATGTTAAAGTTGTCACCAGTTTTTTAAAAATTAAATTCGTCGTAGTTGATGTGAGCCACCAACAGATTGCACTAATCTAAATGACTAATTTCTGTCGGATACACGATGTTTTTTACCAAGTAAAACTTATATAAATATAATAAAGATATAATAAAAATAGAATAAAATAAGGTAGAAAATAGAATTTAAGACACACATTTGGTGACTGGCTCTCACAACTATGTGTTTTAAAATAATTTATTTTTGTAAAAAAATACAACCGACTTCAAACGCTCTAAAAAGAATGAAATAATTTCAATCAAGTAATCTTTTGTATTAGGCAAGCTCACGTATTTTAAGTCAGCGCGGCTCTATGATGATTTTTGATACAAAATTGAAAGAGGGTGTCCATATTGCAGGTGACTATCTATAACTAAAGGTGTTAATCTGCATGTCTTTTTCATAGTTATGCGTTAAGTGTTATTTTATTACCGTAATCAGAGATCGGCATTATAGTGGTATTAACGAGTATCTTTAAAAAGATTATAAAGCATTTAAATGTTTCTAACTTGGAAAAGTAACGTTTTAATACTAAACTAGCTTCTTTTCCCTATCATAATATCAAACTAAATTATTTTCCTATTCATATAGAACATTTGTGTGTGTTATTTTCATAATGCATTTATTCTGAAGTAAACATAAAATACAAGAAAATATTTCCTTTAATATATAAACAAAACAGTTCAGTATATTTTTTTTATATATTTATGTTATCCAGCTACAATTTATTGATTTTCAAAATACACACACAATATTTAATTTCAATCATATTTTTGCAGTTTGAGCCGCGCCGACTTGAAATACGTGAGCTTGCCTAATACAAAAGTTTACTTGATTGAAATTATTTCATTCTTTTTAGAGCGTTTGAAGTCGGTTGTATTTTTTTACAAAAATAAATTATTTCATGATTTTTAGTGACTGTATAATTTTTTATATATTAATTACTTGAGGTTTTTTGATAAGCAAAACTGTTTGAAACAATCAAAAGTTCCACAGAACAATAATTATTTTAAAACTGCTTGAGTCACCTGTTCAGGTTACATAATCAATGGGTATGAAAATAAACATTTTTAGATATTCCTTAAGAAAGAAAGAGTTGTCCATTATTGGTGTAAGTCATGTAGGGGGTTTTGTTTGCTCAAGATATAGCCTAGTCGAAATTGCAAATCATCTTCCTCTAGGACTTTCCGAAGCAGGCATAATAGTATTGATATGTTATAGCATAGACTAACCAAGGGAGTATGTTTTATCTATGGTTATAGTAACTGGGTAGAGAATATTAATAAACATTCCACATCTGCAAATGCGTGTTTAGTAATTAAAATATTTAACACTTTTAAGACAATTGACGATTATGCACTGTCACACTTCTTAGGTCGTGTAAGGAATAATTGCATTTAATTTATATTTAGACCTGTTTTACGAATGCTTTGGTTTTCATAATACACCTTTATTTGTCAATATCATACAGCTATTCACAGAAACATATATGTTTTTGTAAGTCAGAATATTCAATACTAAAAACAGAATTACTGTATACACAAATCAGGTCAAACGTTAAAATACATTTTTTATAGTAACCAAAACAAAATGCATTTTTCTCAATGTAATTAATTTAGGCTCCATGGCAAGAAATAGTTTATTGATCAATATGAAGCAACTGTTTCATGAAGAATTGTCTGTAGCTTCATTTAAATGGTTTCAACTAACAGCTGTAGGAATGTTATTATTATTTATTGCCTTCTCTGCACAAATGTAAACAATCTGCACAAATATGTAAACAAAATAAATGTTGAATATTTAAGGTTTTCAGAATTTTTCACCGAAACAAATATTATACTTAAACATAATATATAAGGTACCAAATAGAAACTCTCCTGGTTATTTTGGTGGTGGAACCACACTGATCGGTAAAAGAATCACAGAGCAATTGGTGAACATACATAGAAAAAAAAAAACATCGCCACAAACAAATTGAGAACCTCCTCCTTTTGTTGGTAGTGGGGAAGTCGGTTAAAAATTGCGACAGCTGGTCCATATAGATGGGATGTCTACTTCAGTATCCAATAGTCAATACAAGATTACATGTTTTTGTTTGAGTTTTCGACCACTGGACGACCACTAGTAGTTATTAAAGACAACCTAATGTGGCTATGAGTGGGAAAAATTTGTAGAAAACACTAAAAAACAAGATAAGCTTTTGAAAAATGATAATATATTTACAAGAAACTAGCTTTACTACCGTGTTTACTTTTTAAATTCCCTCAACATGTGAACAGATTTTTTTTTTCAAATGAAGATTATATTAACCAAACAGCAGTTTCAAAACAAACTATATGTTATTGTTTTTAATTGTCTTTGTTTATACTTTTTTATTTATCAATTGATGTAGTGAAATTGATATAAAGGATAGGTGTGGTCGATTTGTTTAATGATGTTAGGACAACAAAGTTATACTGTACTGTGAATTTTATTTGATATTATCGTTTTATTTTAGGTAGTTTCTCTTCAGACCTACTGGAAATTGTGTTTGGTATAAGTAATTGTGTGGTGGTAATAATAATTATGGAAGAGGCAGGTATGCGATGGAAGGTGGTCGTTGACTAGTTCTATACACTTCTCAATTGACTATTACTCTCTCTACTGTAGGCTACTTATAATTAGTGTGTGAATAGTTAGTGTGAAAAGCGTCACAGTTGCTGTTTTATTGTAAAATTATTAGACTTAAAATGCATATCCTATAGGCCTATGATGGGATAAAAACATATTTGGTCACGCAACATTTGTTTACAAGATGATTTTTCACGTTTCCATTTAAACTGCAAGAAAATATTTTGTCTTTATACGTGTAAACCAGCTATTCTGAATTGTGCACAGTTTTAACTGACTACTCAATTCCCGTATGTAGGACAGGCTAACACTTCGTTGAATGTAATTTTGAAAAGTAAATGTGTTGAATTTTACAGTGGCTAGTTGATTTTTTACACTCCTTGCTAACTAAAATTACTCTAATTATAAAATAAATAATAAAAGCACGCATGTTTTAACTCAACACAAATTCTAATTCATGAATGTTTACAAAACTAAAACAATAAAAAAATATATGATGGTAAAAATAGATATAAAATGAAATATTGAACAGTCTTAGAGAAGTCATAACAACGACATAAGAAATGTGTATTATTAACATAAATTAATGTTTTGGATTGCCAGGTTAAAATTACCATCATAATAAATTGAAATTCAACTGAAAATAACTTAAATAATAAATGCCTACATTTGTTGTAAATAAAACGTAAGTGTTCTTTATATTTATTTTACGATCAAAATAAACTATAGCCTACAAAAAATAGGCTACTGGGGGCTCGATCCCCCAGTACTTAGCTTATAATAACACACAGGTTAACTTTTTAAATGTGTATGTAAAATGTAATTTAGGTTATGTTTGTTTTTTTTAAAGGATATGTTGTTATAACTAACATGAGCTGATCCGCAGCTCCGCAGCTGTAGTTGACAACTAGTATTTAGATTTATAGCAATGTGAACATTTCCATGCAGTGGTAGGACAATAAATCTTTTATATCCTCTTGAATCTGGGAAAGTCATAAAACTAAACATGAACCTATAAGGAATCAAGTTTTCTATCTACTATTCTAATGTACCGTATAGCAAAGGCCTACTTACTTCCACTGGATGAGATTTTTGTTCTTCTTTTCTATAAGTCCTATCCCTTCCAGCACATTTGTTATGTCATAAATCCGCCTCTTTTGACTCACTGCTAATAAATCAGCAGCCTAAAATGAATATTTTATTAGGATATAAATGGTTTCCATTACTATTATTTGTAAAAGTGACACCGACCTAGTATTACAAAAAAATTTAAGGCTATTTAAATGTAACAGGATTTGGCACTTTGAAATTTTCAACACGTTTCCACAGCCTAAGGGGCTTACAAAATTGAGAAAATATACGAGTCCATATTATTTCTACCAAACTTGAGATTTAGAAACAAACAAAAAGATAAATGGTACCGGTACCATTAAGTTTTGAACTGTAACTTTTTACAGCATTGGGGGTTGTACCATTTTGTTTCTAGAGTTAAAAGGACAACAACATACTACATAAATTTAAATTGAAATCGTTAGAGCCGTTTTTGTAAAAATCCAATATTCTTGTTATTTATATAGGTTTCATTTTCAAAATCACCATTAAATTCAAATTGAAATAAATGTGGGAATACCTACCATGGATTACTCCATACTGAATTTAATCAAAAATGGACTGGACAGGTGTAGTCTGAAGCTCTGTAGGTACCGGTACACACGTACACGGGCGCACATACACACATTAGGCCTACCAGTACTTCAAAATCCACATGTTTGAGTTCAGGGGTAGGCCCTAACCTAAAAAGATATTACCACCAAAAACTCTTCAAACTCCAAAATTTTGACAAAAACAATTAATTAGGCCTACTGTTACATATGTTATTAAGATTCACAGATGTTCAGAATTTATTATTATTATGTTTGTTTAATTCAATGTTTTTGTTTAGTTCAATGCTAACATTATGAAATGATTAAATTGAGTTTCATACAGTTCTTGTTAATAATTGTATTTAATAATTGGCGACGAGGACAATTAATTATTTCTACGTTTCTATTTTACACTTAGGCCTATTACATTTTACTAGTACAAATAATTGATTATGGCCTCCTTACAAGGAAATGAAACATTGAGTGAACTGAAGAAAGCAAGGGCTGTTGTTAAAGGTCAGTTGACTAGAGCTGAGAGAATGCTGGAAGAATTGTCTGGTATTAAAGTTGATAGTATCAGAACAAGACTCTCAGTGATACATGCTTATTGGGAACGATTCGAGCAAATCCAGCACAACATTGAAGTAAAAACAGATTAAGAAGAACTTGACACTGAAATCACATACAGGACCGACATGGAGGGTATGTATTTAAAAATAGTTGATGTATTACAACTCCGATTAAGTGAATTGGAAAGAGTCAACGAACCAGAAGAACTACAGCAGATCAGACCATACAGTGTTGATACTCAGAAATTGCGACCGCTTACATCAACAAGGAATATATCCTACAGATAAGGTATACACATTACTTCATTCTTTAACCCCTAGCCTACATCAGAAGGTTTATGATTTATGTGCTCCAGAAGTACCTCTGGATAAATCATATACAGAATTGGTGAGAATGTTGACAGATTATGTTGATCCACAGCCAAGTACTTGGGCTTTACAGCACAAATTCATGTCTAGAGTACAGGAGCCCAATGAAACAGTTAAGATTTATTCAGTGGAATTGCAAAAACTTACATCTAATTGTGAGTTTAACGGTGAGTCTTGCCAGAAATCAATTGCTAATACACTTTTGCGGATGCAGTTCATAAGGGGGTTAGTTAATAAAGATATTAGAGCCAAATTGCTTCAGGATGATTCATTTGTATCGTTTCAAGATGTCGTCAAAGCAGCGACAGCGATGGAAATTGCAAACCACGAGAGAGATCTATCTGAACACTATGCAACTAAAACTAGTAGGCCTAGTACAGTACATCAGATTGAGGATAAATACAAAAATGTATCAACTAAATCGCACATGACATCAAACCAGAAAAAGCCTTCACCTCTTTTTGACAGTCTTTACAGATGTGGTTCTCAAAACCATAGGACCAATAACTGTGAATTTGCTTCAAAGATGTAACAAATGCAAGAAACAGGGACACTTAGCCAGAGTATGTTTAGGATCTACAAGAACAAAAATTCACCAAGCCAAAGAAGAAGACTGTCAAGATGAACAACACGAGATTTTCAAAATAGATAGAAGAAATGGTGATAAAATTATGCTTGATTTTTTTTTTTTTTTTTTAAAGAGGTTGGCGGCCTCTTTTAACCTTGCATTTGCCCGTCCACATAGACTAAGCGCCCGTGCGTGGATCGTTTATCAGTTGAAGGTAAACCAGTTCAAATGGAACTGGATTCAGGTTCTGCTATAAGTACTCTGCCTTACTCTACATTCAAGAAACATGAGATTAATAGGAAAATGTTGTATACACAAGTGCAGCTATGAACATACACTCGAGAAGTTTTCAAACCAAAAGGAGTTGTTTTTGTGCATTGTACATACAATGATCAGGAATTTACAGGCAAACTTTACATCGTGGATGACAACCTTGACGCAATATTTGGTCACGATTGGTTGCGAGAAGTTCAGTTAGACTGGGCTGAACTAAAGGCAGTACAACAATACCCAAAAGTGTGGTCTCGACAACCTTTTAGAGAAGTTCAAGGATGTGTTTGAACCAGGTATCGGTAAGATTCCAGAACAACTTGGACACTTACAACTTGTCGATGGGGCTCGTCCAGTATTTATGAAGGCTAGGCCTGTGCCATACGCATTAAAACTGAAAGTTGAACAAGAACTTGACCGCTTGGAAGAAGCAGGAATAATTTCGAAAACTCAAGAATCTGAGTGGGGAACACCAATCGTTCCAGTAGTCAAGCCTAACGGAGATGTGAGAATATGCGTGGATTACAAAGTGACAGTAAACAAGCAGATCCAAGATGAACACCACCCTATTCCCAAAATTGAAGACATATTTGTCAACATGAATGGTGGAAAATTATTTTGTACACTAGATTTAAGAAACGCTTAGGCTACCTTCATTTGGAAATGGACAGTGATAGTGCAAATATTTAAACCTTAAGCACGCATAAGGGACAGTACAGGGTACATAGATTAATGTTTGGTATTAAAGTTGCTCCTGGCATTTGGCAGAAAACAATTGACAAGACATTGGCAGGCCTAGAGGGAATACAGTGCTTCTTTGAAGATATAGTCATTCAGGGAAATTCAGAAAACGAACTACTTCTGCGTTTGGAAAATGTCTTAGGAAAACTAAGAGAAAAAGGTTTAAGACTCAATCGTGACAAATGCAAGTTTCTCCAGAAAAGAATACATTATTTGGGCCACATCATTGATGAAAAGGGTATTATTCATAAATGTATGGACAAAGTGGCTGCCATAGCAAAGGCAAGAAAACCTGAGAATGTAAGCGAACTCCGGACATTTTTAGGTTTGGTAAACTATTACAACCGATTCATAAAAGACCTAGAGCTACTCTACTGAAACCATTACATAAACTTTTACAGAAAGGGAACAAATACGTTTGGAATGAACAATGTGAACAGAGTTTTGAACATATCAAGAAAGTTATCTCCAGTGATACTGTTCTTTGCCACTACAGTCCAGAACTACCGCTAGTATTGGCAAAAGACGCATCTCCTGTTGGGTTAGGCGCTGTTATATCACACCGTTTTCCTGATGGGACTGAGAAACCAATTGCTTTTGCCTCTCTAACGTTGACGAAGCCTGAACAAAAATATAGTCAGATAGACAAGGAAACAACTGGCATTATTTGGGGCCTTAAAAAGTTCTTTACTTATTGTTACGGTCGCAAATTCACCCTCGTAACCGACCACAAACCACTAGTCGCAATCTTCAACCCAGAAAAAAATCTTCCATCCATGATTTTTTTTTATGTATTAATTATATTCTAGAGTGACATATCCACATTTATAGGTAAATAAGAAGGACGGGTGATGAAAGATCCGGCAAAATTCCGCAGTGTAACACTGGTAAGGCCAGTTTAAAACATTAAAGTACTCAACGAGGGGACTTCTCGCTCATTTAAAATGGCTAAAAAGTTAAAATCATAATATTATATACTCCCGGGATAACAGGATCGGCTGAGACAAATCCCGGGATTGGATTGAAGGCCCGGGATTGAGACCCCTACGTGACACCCTCTCAAGAGTCCACCGAAAACATGGAACATCTGTTAGTAAAATTAGTAGGTTTTCACCTGAAGAGCTGACTAAGTAAGAGTGGAGTTATGCTGTTCGCTGTTCATGTTAGCATACCGCTTGCTCGAGACTTTACATACCGTACAAGTATATCCTATGGCGTGATATGACAGAAGTGGCTAAAGTACTCAAACATCATAAAGCTGCAAGCTACACCATCACAAGGAGCCCAAGAGAAAACACTGCGCAACCAATCTAATAAAGACTAGGAATTTCATCTGTCTGCAACCATTGCATCTATGCTTGTCTGGTTAAAATAAAAACCAGTGAATCATTACCAAACACCAGAAGGCATTTTCAAACACCTACAATAAAAAGAAAAGAGCTGGCAGGATCTAAAAGTGCCCCCCCCCCCCCCTATTCCCATGGATCCGGGTTCTTCTTTAAGTTGAGACTGAAAGAACAAAAAGACTATAAAGTATTTAAACTTAACACAATAGACCCAATTAACTTACATCACTAGGTACAAAGTACCTTGATGATAACCTAGGGCAGTCACGACTAAGTAACCTAAGTCCAACACTGTCGCTTAAACCCCCCTCGCCTTAACGGCATGTTATTCCATGCATGTTATAGCATGTTAGGCCCCGTCCTAGGTGGACGTCGTAAAATCGGTCGGTCGTCCGTGCGAGCGAATCAAGATTCGCACAGTGGGGCGTGAAGTCGTCGCAGCGACTGACGTCAGTTCCCTCTCATTCGACCAGTGCCACCATGTAATCGGTTGAGAAAAGACGTAAGCTCGTGCTGCTGGACAGTTCTTCTATAATCTATTCTTACATTAAGAAGAAATCGGACAACAGAAGTGCTACAAATGAGATTTTTAAGGATAGGTATGAATTTGGTGAGTTTCATCATTTGTATGAGAAGTTGAGATTGTACCCTGAACTTTTCAAAAACTACACTAGAATGTTAGTGGATATGTACATTTGACCACATCGTCACCGAATTGAAGAAGGACCGAAGACAACAAACTTTCAGCGGTTTTTTGAAGACAACAACAAACAGCTACTGAAGACCATAGACGATCGCTCATTAATCTGTTGTGATACTGGGGATGATTTAGGTTCCATAAACTAGGGTGTTTTTGCACTTCACTAATCAACAACTCACTCAACTCAGACATGTTCACTCTTCAAGGCCTACAATGCACTAGTCGGTCGGACGATCCGCACGACCAAAGACAAACATGTTTGTCTTTCGTTGGTCGCGTCGGTCGTCCGACGCCGTCGGTCGCATCGTCGATCGCCCAGCTAGGACGCTCTCACACTTATCCACTTGTTTGAAATATTTTGGTGCGACAGTTTCGCTCGCACGGACGACCGACCGATTTTTCTTCGTCCACCTAAGACGGGGCCTTATTCCTTAATCATCACAAGTATACTGCCCTAGCATGTACATACGTTCACGCACAACAAATTCCTCTGTAGGCATAGCCTATTGTTTGAAAATTCAAGCATTTTGCACAGCTGAAGCAGGCAAGGAAATGGGTGAAAGTTAAATATGCAAGGCACTGGCTAATTCCAAGTGTGACTGCTGCCAGAACAACTTTACAAGGCATGCAATTCTCAGTCCAGTTTTGGCTGTGGATTGCTTAAAATATAATAGTAGGCCTACTTTAAATAAAACTTCCGTTTTATATGTTGGTGCAAACAACCGAATGAAAATACAGATACGGAAGTCTACCCCTAAGTTAACATAACCTTAAACCCTGTGGCCTTAAATTTAAATAACTTAAGAAGAAATAAATATAAGTTATATTCTATCTCCATGAATCTTTAGCTAGGTAGGCTCCTTAAAAACAAAATTTACTCACCTGTTTAAGATCTAACACCCCATCAGGCGTTGCTTGCAATAGAGACACAAATTTAACTGTTAGCAAACCCAGCGATTTCTCGGATCTAGTTACATTAAAGGCTTCTACCATAGTCATCTCTTCGATATTCCTCAGTAAAGCGATATTTAGAGTAAAACTATATAAAAATCCCGTAAGGGTATTTCCTAACTTTTTCGTTACATTAACTGCTTCCCCAACTCCAACTCCTAGCCTTAAAACTAAAACAGCAAAGCAGCATTCGGCTGAGCACTTTTAAAGATGGTTGCAAAAAGTAAGCACCGGAAACAACCGCTAAAAGTCACAGACCTTTAAACTACAAACGAAACAGCCATAGTCATCAGTTAGTTCATCTGTACATAAATTGTGTTAAGTCCTTAGTCAAACTACTATAAAAACTTCATCCAATGATAAAATTAATATAAATTTGAAAAGTCTCCAAACTGTATTTTAAATCGTAATCAAGAATTTAATATATTTTAAATATTTATTCGGAAAACATTTGTATGTGTAATCTTTTCATACCCTAGCAAACAGCGACCCCACGGAATGATGCGTTCTGCCACGGCCGCCTTTGGCGGCCGTGGTTCTGCACGGCGCGGTCGCGGTGGTGGGCGGTGGCGGTCTGTCGGTAAGGTCTCGTGTGTTGTGTTGTGAGTTGTGTTGTGATGATTGTCGACTGTTGTGTGTGTGTTTGAGTGCGTGTATGGGAGCCTGAGCCGGGAGCCCTGAGCCTGAGGGTATTTACTCAGGGGAGATATAGAAGAGGCTACGATGACAGCTGTGGGCTTCTTATTAGCTGAGGGAACGCCATTACCGTAACAAAACGAATAGTGGTCATCGGCCTCGGTGGTCTAATGGTTAGTGTGCCGGGCTGATGTGCTGAAGGTCCCGGGTTCAAATCCCGCTCGTAGCATTAACTTTTTGTCCAAGATTTTTTTATTATCAGCAAGTTTGGTTGGTTTGGTCCGGTTATGACAGTTCAATTTTATTATTAAGTCATTATAAAATTTTAGTAGAGCAATTTCTAGTTTTATTTAATAAACTGAATTATTTTTTCTATTAATAAACTTTTGTTATATTATTTCATTATCAGCAAGTTTGGTTAGTTCGGTTAGGTTATGATAGTTTAATTTTATAATTAAAAAATAATAAAATTGAATTTGAGGCATTTATAATTTTATTTTATGAACAGAACTATTTTTGCGATTAGTAACTTAAACCTTCATTGCCAAAGTGCTCTCTACTACAGCGCTGTTCACGGAGGAATTTTGAACTAATGCCTCATTCGTACTTCCCCTAAGTCAGACCCGAGCCTGAGCCTAGCTAGCTAGCACTAGCAGCCAAGCAAGCATAAGCATCTAGACTGCCAGTGCAACTCCTAGGATCGGTAGGATCGTGGATCAGATCGAAAAACCCCCCACCACCGCTCAGTGCCGATGGCGTGACGTCAACCATTACTGCAACGATACGGAACTAAGTCATGAGCCTTTGTGGTGTAGTGGATAGCGTGTCGGGCTGATAATCTGAAGATGCCGGGTTCGAATCCCACCGGGAGCACTAACTTTTTGTCAACAATTTTTTCATATCAGCAAGTTTGGTTGGTTTGGTTAAGTTATGACAGTTTAATTTTATAATTAAAAGATTGTAAAATTGAATTTGAGACATTTATAATTTTATTTTTAAAACAGAGCTATTTTTTGATTAGTAAACCTTCATTCGAGTTTATCATTATCAGCAAGTTTGGTTAGTTTGATTAGGTTATGATAGTTTAATTATATTTAATTCAAATTAAATCTACAAATTATACATTTTGACAGCGACAGTGATACAGATAACAATTTTCCGCGAACAGTTAGATAAGCTATGCTGATGCGCCGGCCGGTATGATTCGGAAGCGTACGACATGGTGCGGTGGTGGGGGGTGATCTACTGATCTGATCCACGATCCTCCGATCAGTCCGATCCTCGGACTTGCACTGGCAGTCTAGACGCTAGTCTACCACGCAGCCTAGCCAAGTGTAACCCATCGATGATGAATGATGATAGCGTACTAGGCCTAGGCTTAGTTAGTTGATAATAAAAACTCATTTCAATCATGTCATTTAGTTTCTCAAATGACACTGCTAATATTTTATTTGAAAGTAAGTAATCATTAACTTTATTGTATCAAAATTTTAAGTGTGCAAGGAATTATTTTTTCACCTAACCTCAAAGTAGGACATTTAAATTAAATGTTACAAGGCTAAACTTATTGGGTAACTTCTAAAAAAGCATCCCCTAAGACTGGTATTGGTAAGATTTGTATTTGAAATAAAATACTCAGTTCTCAAGAATTAGGCTTAATTTTTAATTTGTATGTTTTTTTTAGTAGGGTATAACCATGTATAACTTAAGAGCTTGATTTCTATATTAACATGAGAGATTTTACCTGGACAATTTTATGAGGTTGTGCAGAATTAACTTACATCAAAGCTAAATAACCACTAACCTTTTTTCCTGTCGCTCTTAAAGGAAAATCTAATTTTTCACTGTTTTTGTACTAATTTAGATTTTATGTTTCACTTAGGCTATTTGCCATGTTTGACGGATAGGTAAGTTAGAACTAAACTTTTGGCCTAAGTTAAGTGGCAATCTAGCGGATATGGATTTAACCAACTTTAATAGCCATGGCTGTTCCATTTAGAAACTACAAAATGTCCCTCCCCCATTCATTAATTTCTAACTAAGGTAAACGACATCTTTGGTTTTTCTAATAGTAGGCCTAACTTAAAACTTATTTGGTAAATATTTACCCTACTTACACTGGGATATGATGTAATTTTGATATGTCTACTTACAGTAGGCCTATTTTTTACGCTGAATCCAAAAATGCAATCAGTTTTGGTCGGAGAGATTCCTAAGTGGCCGTACAGTTAAATAATTAATATTAAGCTTAAGTTTTAGCGAATTTCCCATATAGGGAATAAGCTATTACCGTAGTACTCATGGTAAGACCTGGACGCGGGACCGATTTTTTTTTCATTTTGAGGTCCCTAGAGGCCAAAAACACCATCCGTTCAAATTCATATATAGGCTATATACTTATATGTGTCCGTTAGCGCGATAACTCAAGCAAAAATTATCCGATTTTGATGAAATTTGGTACAAACGTGTAAACCTACGTTTATTCGAACGAGTTCGCGAACCAGCATGATCGGACCATGGGAACGGGGGTTTATGGGGGCTTTTATGGAGTAAAAATGGGTTTTTCCCATTTTTGACCCAAAAAACATAAAATTTTGCAATTTCTTTCTAAACTATTTTGTAGAGCTTAAAAAAACAAATAATTTAGTATATTGAACCGTTATAATGCGCCTAATGGTTACGGAGAAAATTCCAAAAAATTGTAAATTTAAAATTCCCATGTTATTCTTATGGATAAAATAAAAATTGTTGTAGTTTACTTGTTTATGGATAGACATTGATAAAATTTGGCAAATTTATTTATTTCCTCCCATACTATTCATGTATGGTCAAAAAACACTTTTTACCTTCCCCGTAGCAGCAAACCTAAGCACTTGTTAAATCTAATGTTATTTAAATAGGGAATAAATATGTCTTATTTATGGAAATATTTGAGTAAAAATGTAATCAGACAAGTTGAAAGTCGCTTAGTCTGCAGATTTGCTGCGGCGGGGGTATTGTTGATTTATTATAATATCTGTGGTATGGATGAGTCCAAGTTCTAGTGGCGACTAACACTAAAACGGGTGGAAGGTTTGTGGAGTGGAAACAGCTCTCAGTTGTTTACATTCAATACTAAACAGACAAAACCACACACGACACCATGAGAGCAAAATCAGAGTTACAATATGCAATAAATAGATTTTTAAAAGAAAATGGACTTTGGTGCTGTTTAGAAAATACAATAAATCAACTACGATACATAGGCTAAACTAATCACATGAACTTAAATTATAAAACAAAATAGAATTTATTCACGTAAAATACCAGTTATAGAAGCTAGGCCACTGCCGACATGATCATCGTTCTCATTCCAATCCTCAACCATTGACTAATAAATGCCTCAACGTCTGTTAATGAACGTGCCGTAGTGCATAATCCCATTGTGTCTAAAAGAGAAAACATACCACAGTGCATAATTTAATGTATCAGCAACTAATAAATTATATTACATACTGGTAATCTAATCTAATCTAACCTAACCCAACCCAACCTTTTAATTTTTAAATCGCATTTTATGTCAGAAAAGGCATGTGAGGAATATAGGTCGGACTTTATGCGGATTCGTGACTATATTAAGTTAAGTCCTTTGAAGTGAGGTTAGATTAGGTAAGTTAAAGGTTAAAATGCTTGCTCATTTTTGATAGGCCCTATCGTTATTTCATTGTGTTCACCCACTATTTAATTGTGCAAAAACAGTCTGGAAGTTGCATAAATTAATGAGTCGGTTCATTATAACCTAACCTTTACCTTCCTAATCTAACCTCACTTCAAAACACTTAATACAGTCACCAATCCGCATAAAACCCGACCTACCTTCCTCCACAGAAAACGTACTACTATAACCCAGAATGCCAACCGCATGGTAAAAAGCATTAAGCGTTTTGAGAGAGCTTTGCCTGTCAATCCGTAGGCAGCGCCACCAGCGTTGCTATGCTGAGTGCATGGCAACGCTGGTGGCGCTGCCTACGGATTGACATGCAAAGCTCTCTCAAAACGCTTAATGCTTTTTACGATGCGGTTGGCATTCTGAGTTATAGTAGTCCGTTTTCTGTGCTTCCTCACATGCCTAAATAAGAACTGATTAACTTATTTGGTTTCAAAACGAATTGATTTGATTTCATTCCGCATAAACAGTTGTTTGCTCTTCTCACTCAGTCCTCACTCCTCACTCAGTACGGACCCGTCCAGAACACGCCATATTACCATTACCTTCAGTACCGCTCAATTATCCTTAGATTAGTAATCCTAACCTTCGTTTTACGGCCACTTAGGAATCTCTCCGACAATAACTGATTGCATTTTTGGATTCAGCGTTAAAAATACTGCAAGTAGACATATAAAAATTACATCATATCCCAATGTAAATACAGTAAATATTTGCCACTTATTTTTCTTAAAATTACAACAGAAAAAAGTTATAACTTAAGTAGGCTAGTTATTTTCTTTTAAAATATCTTATTTAGGTTTAGTTATCTTTTTTACTAAAAATATTAGGCTTTACTTATATATTACTAGGTGAAACCCGTCGAAATCGACAGTTACTTTCAAGGATTACCCTAATTCGTCTAACTGCGATAAATTGAGTGAAATTATACATATTTTGATCATTTAGCATTGTTTAAAGAGTAATAAGTGTAAAAACAATGATATTAATTGCGTTAGTTACCAAATATGGTTGATTATTGAATGAATAAAAAAATTCCCATATCGTACGTCATCGGAGATAGTATGTTATCTGGTTCCTTTGCAAGAACCTTTAAATAGTATTAAAATCGTATTGGTGGATCTTTTGAAGTTAAACACTTTCAAGATTTCATCAGTGTAATGCAGATAAATCTATGATTTTATTTGAAAAAAAAATCTGTTTATTGGGAAGACACGTTCTAACTTCAAAGGGAGGTATATACGTTTACAGTGTAAGTTTGATTTTTCCTCCGTTACGTCGCGTCAGTTCATATCGTACTTCTGTGCCAATGAATAACCCTCTAGCACAGTTTTGAGAAATTTGTTGTAGGGTTAGTGTTAAAGCTGGAATTTCTAGACATGGGGGATGTCAGTTAGTTGACTCAGCCTTCATCAATTACATAAAGTTGTCAATATAATCTCTCTACGGAATGTTAGGTGTAGTGGAATATACTTGAAGTGAAGTTGGCTTTTATTCTTGAACTGTTAGGGTACTCCTCATTTATATGGTCTTGCGGCTTCATTGGCAACAAATAATGCAAATGACATAGCAATGAGGCATTCCCAAAAAGCAAAAATAATGTAAGTTGGCTGTCACGTAAATATTGACGTCTACATGCATTGTTAATCAACGTATCTTATAAAGGATGATGTGATCTAGTTTAGAAGGAATAGGCTATGACCTTTCTGTCATGACAGTTGCTGCTTAAATAGTATTTACTCATTGGGCCATTTTTACAGCCAAAATGTTGTGTTATTTTCAATAATGTTACCAACCCAGTTGGCCACGGTCCGTAATATAGGCCACTGTAAATACGTTTGTCAAGATAGGTACCATTTTAGGCAAGGTTTCTGTGCTTGGATGTTATTAGACACGAAGATGTTATTAGACACAATGTTATAAGAGCACAATAAAATTATTCTGCAGGATGAATTTTCCGTTAGAGAAATATAAGCCGAATTATAAATGTCACAATGCGAGTTTGAGCATTTTGTAACTATATGAGGAAGTTAAATAGATTTTTTTTTAGATGGCTGCTCAGTGCCCTTTAAAATATATATTTAAGAGATAAATTAAATGGTTTTTTTGCTGAGTAGCGCTAGTAAACATGCACAACCCTTTTCCTTAGTCTAATAACATTCAAAGGCTCTCTAAGAGTTCAAGTTCTTATTTGTATACATATCTATATTACGTTTTCACTAAGCTAAAAGAATACATTGAAGTAGGCCTAACCTCTCTGAAAAGTGTGCAGTATATTGCAGTATTCCAGCTTAATGACTTTCTAAATCATGCACATATTTCTACATAAATATTGTAAAATGTTTTATCCAGTTGCTGTAGACCACTATTAATTTAACAAAATATGGACACAGCTCAAATGGGCACCGTTCCCTTCTGCACTTGTATTATTTTATACTGTATTACACAATCGAAAATTTTTACAATGATTGAAAGCATGTATGACAATAATCTTATGCCAATGACCCTATGATGATCTGTCTAGAGTAATATGATAAAACATAGGGGAAAGGTATGACAAAGGCAGACACCAACCCGTAAAATAGATATAATATAGTTCAATAAGAAATAATTGTAAGAGTTATTGTGATAAAAGGATTTTCCACTGATTTCGTAATGGAACCTTATATTGCAACACATGACATGGTATAGAAGAAAATCAATTTTAAAATCAGAAAATAACATAATACTTCTTTTGGACAATTCAGTAAC